CGGCCCCTACAGCCGCGTCGGCTGCTGCGGCTGTGGCTGCAGCCACCGCAACTGCGTGCTTCTCGGCCTCTCCGGCAACGTAGAATGACCTAAGCCACGCGGCTTCGCTCTCCGATATGTTCGGAGGTATGGTCGTGTAGTTGTCGCAGAGAAGACCGGCGGTTTCTCCGGCGGGGCTCCGCCGTTGTCGATCGCCGGAGCTGGAAGAGGGTCTGAATCCGAACAAAACCTTGAACCACCTCGTAGCTTTACCCATCCTCGGTTCTGTAAGATTCTCTGGTGTGGGGTTTTTTGGTTCACAGATCGTTTTCAAGAGAATGGCACCAAAGATGCGTCGAACAAAACAAAGCGGTACGATGTGTGTGTATGCTTGGGGTATGGTGTGGTGTGGGGGTCCATATTTACGGGTCGAATAATTAAATCATTTTTTAACCTGTAGTGACAAAGGGGTAATCTTGGTTATCAGAGCCCACGAACTTTAATTTAGTTTTTTTAGGAATAGATTTAACCGTAAATTAATAAACTACAAGGATCCTTTAAATGTGAGTTTTCTCAACTGTAGCAAAAGATTTAATTTAATATCTATTCATGTGTTACTATACGATTTTCCAGTGGAATTTTTTCATTGGATGGGTTGGTCCAAAATACAAATCTTATAAGCTGCGTAAGACTTGGATACCATTGCGAAACCATGTTTAATGCATTACGTATAATTTTGCTTCATGTTGCAAGGTTTAGAGTTTTATTTAGTGTTACATATTGGAAAATTTTTATATTATGGATTAATAATACAGCTTTTAAATTTCTATCTGTGCTATTCAAATCCAATTTTATTTAAAAAAATATATATATCCGCGCTGTTTCCAATGGTATTACAGCTCAAAGTGACGGGTGCTTTCCCGTTCCATGTAAAATTCTATATGCACTATTCCCTGAAATATTTTTCTCTAATAATGAAAACGATGAGAAAAAAAAAAGAAGGGGAAATAAGACTGGAAATTGCATACCCGCAACGAGTAATTAATTTCCTATGGAATCAGTGCACTTACGTAACAATGGAATTATTTCTCTTTTCACAATATGGAGGATGTGATTGAACCATATTACACATCAAATCAGATTATTTTAAAATAAAATTAAATTTGGGTATGACCAAATAACATGGATTTTCATAGAAACATTTTAAAAAATAATCGAAACAAAACTCCTAAATTTAAATCGACCGACAAAATATATAAATATCTTTTTTCTAAAAGCTATGATAAAAGAGGAAAAAGTCATTCGGGAAAGCGGCTGCAAAAGATGAACAGAGAACGTAACGCTCGACCGACTCCCAACACACCTAAGCTCTTCCTTTTATATATTATTTTTATTAATTTACTGTATATATGTATATAATGTATTAACATAATTTCACATATTAAACGCTCATGTGTTCATAAGTTGTTTCATTTTCTAACCATATACACATACATATATTAAGGACTCCTAATTGTTGCAGTTTTAATCAAAACTAAAGTCCTCAGAACATTTTCAAATATAATTTATTATAGCATTCATGAACAAGGATATCCACTGGATATTTGATCCAATTATATATCCCACGGCACGTCACGGAGCACGGTTCACAATATCTAAAGTTTTGACATTTCAAGTTTTCGTTTAGTTATTTTTGGTTTTCGATTTTCTTAACTAAATTGGTTTTTTTTTTTTAAATCATTCTCTACAAAATTCCGTTTTTGTTATCGATAATTACCATGTTTGTATCAAATTCAATTCCAACTATATTCATATCATTTGGGAAAAATATATCCAATTGGTTTCAATTTATGAGATTACTTCCCATTTTTTTTGCAGAATAAAACAAAAAGTTGTTCCTTTTTTTAATAATTACAGAACGAGATTTGGCAGATGTTCAATTATTTGTGCATGAAATCTCGCCCTCATTGTCATTTTTATTTTGTTGTTGTTCTCATGGCTCTCCCTGTTCCTTTGCCGAGCTCTGTATGCATTAAAAGTTGAAAACGAAACTTCATGCAACATACATACATACACACACATACATATATACATACGGTTGAGTGTTCAGCAAAGTTTCTAAGCGAAGAAGGTTTCGAAGCTTCGGTTTCGGTCGGAGGGTTTCCAAAACGTGAAGGGGCATTTTGGTAAAATGCCATGTTGGTGAATATGAGATTAGGGTTTTTTGGTTCCTGATTATATCACTTATGCGTTTTCTGTTGTTTTCTGTTCTCTCTCTCTTTAGACGGAGATGCTTTCATTCTCCGTGAGTCGGCTCCGCTTTACGGCGGTTCTCCAGCAGCATTCTCTGTTGTAAACTCTAGCAAACGCTCTCCCTCTTCCCGAGACGTATGTACCGAGTGTTAGAATTCGGTATTGAACTCGTATCTCGTCTCTGCCACCGTTTCTTTCTGTTCTTGTGTTGGGACGAGAGTCGGAGAGATAGATCGGTGAGGTTTCGTGCTACGAAGCTATTTATCTTGAACTGGCATCAAAAGAATTATCTTAGGGTTAGAAAAACAAACTATTTAGCAAAAAATATATATCTAAAATATACTTATAAAAAATTAATATATAAGATTCAAAATTATAATATAAAAGAGACAAACAAAACACCAATTATCTAACCTAAACATACAAAAGATAGAAAAAATGGCAAATCATTATAATCAACTATCAACTTCAACTAAATACTTTGACCAAAAAAAACTTCAACTAAATATAACAAGAAAACATTTGAAAATAAGAATTTTTGTGAGATGTTTTTGTGTTGGTAAATGCCTTTTTACAAGAAATTAGGGCTCCGTTTTTCATCCATGTAAAGAGAAACAATATGGTAAAAGAGAGATAATAAATGAAAGCCCGAAGAGAAGTCAGAGGCTGCAGAAAGGAGAATCTGCAGTGAGGTCACAAATCTTTTATGTATTTATGGAACTCTCTCTCTCTCTCTCTCTCTCTCTCTCTCTCTCTCTCTCACGTCAAAACCCTTTGACTATTCTTATCATCCCCTTGACAAATTCTCATCTGTCCTATTTAAATTATTTTTTTAGGGTTTTTTTTTTTTTTTTTAGGGTTTTTCAATAATTTATTCAATCCGTACCTGAATTTGCATGTGTACGTCAAGATAGTCATCGCAAGGACTGTTTTTACCAACAAAATTCATTAACTTGGAACAAAATCCTATACATGTTATTTTAATATGAAATTGGAACAAAATTCATTAATGCAATTCATGGTACGTTACATTTTAATATGAACTTCTATGTCAATTGTTATATATGTTAAAGCTATTGTATGATGAATAAGAACTGAGAAAATAAGTACCAGGAAAAAAAGAGGAGCGAGGATGGCTTAGATCGGATGTTGGGCCCTACTACTTTAAGGCCTTATCAAATTCAAAAGATTAATGGGCTTTACTAAAGGCCCAAATATGCACTAGAATTAGGCCCGTTTTTTATGGGCTTATAGACTTTCTTGTTAGAATCCAATGAGAGGGCCCATAATAACCAGATGGGTGGGCCCATTATGCCGACCGAAGCGCTCAAACGTGTGGACATTGATATATGCACGTCATAAACCAACTATTAATGTGGAATTTGAATTTCAAAACATTCGTTAAGAACTATATACGGTTTAATGTGATTGAAGCTCGATAGGTCTTAAAAATGGTCGGTCCACGCCACGCCTCCTCATTTTATTCAGGTAAGACCTTACCTTCAAAAGCTCAATTTCGAATTTCGATCGATCAACCGATTCGTTACACCATATCTAAAAATTCTGAATGCCAACGCTCCAAAATACTCAAATCATGCAAGTTTTTTTCTGTTTAACTCTCCAAACAGATTACGAGAAAAATAATTCAATCGTAATCAACTCGGAATTCGGCTAAGTTACGGACATCACCTTCCATTTATTTCCCTCAACATCACGTCATTTCACGTACGTACAAAACCACAAGGTACAACGTTTGTAACTATGTCTATGTCAAAAGAGAAGACACGGTTGTTAGTAGAGTACGTACATTAGATCGATCCACGACAGACAACGATATAAGCACTCGAAAAATCGACAGATTTGACATTTTCTTTTCTCCGAGAAACTCGGTAGGCATGTCGAGGGAGGTTCAAAAACATAATCGGGTCGACATTTCAAGATCAAAGCATGTGAATTATGGGAGAAAAACAAAAAGTGCGAGAAGAGCCGAAGAAGGGGGCAAAAAAGATTGTTTCCTCGAGAGAACATGTGAAGAATGAAATTTAGTCCCACTGGTCACAGGCAGGTCATGTGTGATGAACCCTACTTATGCTCCTCCTTGTTGGGGAGCTAGGGTTCATGTCTTGAAATAACATCAGTATCAACTTGTAACAATTTTATTTTATTTTATTTTAAAAAAAAATGCATTCAAGAATCCTGTGTTCTTGGGCTGTATCCCCAACCCATACAAATGGCTAGAAACTTTGACAAAACAAGTACATGTTCTCTTCCATATGATGAATGATCTGTACATTGACAAGATGTTATGAGTCCAATATTTATGTATATATTGGTCCGACAGTGTTCTCATGCAGTTAATTATAAGATATACATGCGTATGCGAATTAAAGAGGAGATGAGATGATTATAATAATAATCAACAACTCTTTTTCAGATTTCTTTTTTACATCCTATAAACAATTAGCGTTGACGGGTAATGGGATTGATGGCTGGTACGATTTCATCCGCCGGATTTCTTCTTGTACGCAAGCAATAAATCATTTCTGTATATTCCCTATATATATATATATAAACAGCTCTACAATATGGATAAAAATCTTGTGGAGTATAATGTCTTAAATGTTGTGAAACGAGAGTACTTTCTATAGACAGACCATGGGGCATGAGATTGTGAAATTGTTGGTTATAAGGTGGACAAAAATATTTAATTAGGGCACTGACTTGTAGCTTGCACCACGACATGTTTGTGTAGGCTCCCATGTATGTGCATGTGTTTCGGTCTCTCATGGCATGGTTGGTTTTGTTTCACGTCCTTTTTTATTACAATAATCTTTTTTTTTTCTTTTTGGTTTCATGTTGGTCTAATATTGTAGAAACATGGGAAATGCTTACCATAAATGGAACCCATGTGATATGATAGAAAAGTACTGCATATACATATATATATACGGACTATATATATGCAATAATATACATTTGTTTTTGCATATATTTTTTTATATATCCTAGTTAGACAATTGCGAATCATTGAGTGTTCATAACAGATGGAGATGACTTCTAGATTATATAAAATGTTATCATGTTCAATTATATATGTACCCGCAATGGAATATATCTTTATTCGTTTGACCAAAAATCATCCGCCAAGGTTTTTTCTAGATGGACCGTCCCCGTCCCATTTATTATATTTTATAAAAATTATATTCTCATACCACTATTTTTTTTTCCCACGATATATAATGCTCTTGAATATACACTCCAACTTGTCGTGCGTCGTAATTATTTCTACAAATCAATCTTGTAACATGGTTAGAAATAACATAGAATATTTTTTTTATATGCGCCTGAACAAAAACGTTTACATATTAGGGTATAAGATAACGTATACCGGTTTGTCCATGACTAATCTTAGTATTCGGGAAAAAAGCTACGAGATATTATAAATCCCCGTTATCCCTAACATGGTTCGTATTAGCAATAAAGCTGAATTATTGTGAACGGATTGTGGTTGTGTAAGATTCTTGTACTTGTTAAGTGCTTTAATGGCATATTATAAAAGTGAATTATTCGTGTAATCTCTAGAACATACTTGCATGTTTGTCTGGCTAACATTGATCATCAATACTTGAAATAGTCCAAGAAACCCTAATAATGAAAATTCCGACCAAAACTAGCTAAAGGGATATTGCCGCCATTGTCACCCATCGAATTTCAAAACCACTGGCTTGTGTCCACAGACATATATTTTATATGTATGACTATATATATATATATATATATGTGTGTGTGTGTGTGTAGATAGATAGAGTTAATGTGTGAGCCCAAAATATTTAAAATTTAGGTCAATCTTGATATGAATACTATTACCAAAAGTCGATTAATCATGTAAACCATGGATGTTTTTGTGATTGAAACTAAGTGATTTGTTGCTAAACCGAACAAAATCTGCCGTGAATTGCTGTCGTGGTAACATCTTATAGTAAACAGTAAATATAGGATGGGATGATTAAAAAAAATGTAAAAGGTAAAAAGACAAAAGAGAGAGAGAGGGGGTAGTGAAAGGCCCCTCGTGTGCAATGTGAAGGGAAAAACAGAAGTGACCCCTACACCATGATCACTTGTGCTCTGTCTCTCTGTGGGACATCTGCCATTTCTCTGCTTCTGCTCTCTCTCTCTCTCTCTCTCAACCACTTTTGTCTTCTTCTCTCTTTGTCTTCTCTTTCTCTCTCTTGAAATTTGGCCTTCTGATTTTTCCCCACATATATGTTATCTAATTTAGGGGGCAGTGTCAAATTTACTCGAATTTGGATCGACCCCTTTTCTTTTCCCCATCTCTAATTGACTTTTCCAATGATTTCACGTAAGAATCCATTCATCACCATTCACCACACCAGTGTTCCCTTACATTGAGAAGTAAATGTGATGTGATATCATATGATATCATTGGTCAGTCAATGACGCGCCCTCTTGATTCCAAATTTTATTTTCCAACATAATTTCTTTTTTTATTTTCAGATTTTTCGCAGAGGATAAGTTCAATAACTGCTGCCGTGCCCAATTCGTGGCATGAGAATTTGCGAGTACGAATTTTACATGCAGAATTTATTGTGTGGTGATTTAATACATATAGAGAATTTCCATGCATGTGTTTTTGCGTTACCAATGTACTATGGTACTCGGAACTTGCATGAAGACCGCTACGTACAGCAAGCATTATGCATCGCAGCTGTACATACCATTTTTATCTAATTTATATCTAGGGTTCTGACCCCGATATAATTACTACGCTTCATATTATTTTTTTATCATAATTATATCAATATTATCATATTGGAATATTCTGTTTTCTTATAATAACATTTAATATAATATATATTATCTGAATGAAGTCTTACCGTACAATTCTTGAATCTTGTATTTTTATACGTAAATCCTTTTTAATTATCGTGTGGAGCGATGACCATGAACTATAATCGGACATCCATGCTGAAATGGATCACTTTGGCTTAAGGAAGTATAAAAGTCATTAGCAGTTTTCCCCAGATCATCACTATATACATAATTTATAAATTATTTTAACATTTCCTGTATTTAGGTGAATGAAAACATAACCATAAATTGATTTGGAGGGGCATCTACTATATGTAAAGACGGAAAAGAAAATTTTAATTTTTCAAGGAATTTATTATACTACAAATTCAACGCCGCTTTTTCTGATAAATTCTAAATATAGAAAATATGTGTCCATCTTAATTGTTTTCTCTTTGCACCATATTAAAATTTGTTTTAGGAGTATGTTACAAATTATACCATACCCATGGTCGAATATTCAACACAAAGCATTTATTAAAATTGAAATTTAAAACTTTACCAAAAAAAAAACTTTGCCATGATTATAATTCCTCTCATGCTCGGTACTTAGATATCCAATTTTTTTAATCAAATAATTCATAACAAAAAAAAAAATCTTTAAAAATTAGCGTAGAAAAGGGGGACCATAGCCATCGAAATGCAGAATTTTATGGATAAAAATTCTGATGGAAATTTGTAGAAAGAAAAAGATGAGATGATGCAATGATCCTTGGGACTTGAGCTCTCTCTCTCTCTCTCTCTCTCTCTCTCTCTCTCTGAGCAGAACAGAACTACGGGGAATCCAAAACATTCAAACCTGTCTGAATCTTTGAGACAGACAATTTTGGTTTCCCTTAGGGTTACCAATTATCGAAATTACCATTTTACTCTCCTCTCATTATTCAAAAACTTCTTCAAATGTGCACAAATATTTACACAAAAGAACACCATTTTAATTTTTGTATCAATTTGTGTATTGGCACTATAATTATTTCAATAACGTTTTTGAATCGTACTATAATTATGTCTCGATAATTAATTGTGAAGGATGATTGCCATTCTCTATGTCCACAAGAGTAACTTTATATAAAGCTCACATTTTTTTAATAATTAATATGAATCTATTCATCATGGGATACACATCGAATATCTATATAAATGTTTAGAACATGTATAAATTGGCAAAGCTTAATTAATTATACGAACTCCATATATAGACTACTCGTCACAATAGCAAAAATTGGAGGAAAAAAAAAGATTTTTAAATACAAAAAAAAGATATGGAAAGGATTCTAAAACAAAAGGGAAGTAAATAAATTGAAACAAAACTTCTCCTTTTATAAAAAGAAAAGGAAAAAAAATATGAGGAGAGTTAGAATGTAATAATAATTGTTATTTATTTTAGCTAATAAAGCACCGTGATGCGAATCAACGGCTCCGCCTCATCGCTCTCACCGTCGTCTACCGTTGATTTCGAAGTATTCGTAACTGCAGTGACGCTCTCTATGCCTCCGGTGCACGTTAGTGACTGCGCCTTCTCGGCCTCTTTGTCCCAGTCGGTGGACCCCACCACGTACATCATAAGACCAGCACAGCTAACCTGCGCCGCAAACAGGCCCAACCAAAGCCCATTAAATCCGAACCCGGCCCAAAACCCGAGTCCAATGGCTACAGGCATCCCCACCAGGTAGAAGGCCCCCAGGTTCACGTTCGCCGCCGTCGACGGCCGAGCTGTGCCCCTCACGACGCCGCAACTCACCGTCTGTGGACAGTTTCCGATCTCGCAGAGGCCGAGTAACGGCAGAGCTGACGCCGTTAGCCGGAGGATATCGGCGTCCGCCGTGAACATCCTTCCCCACGAGTTCCTCACACCGCACGCGAACGCCGACGCGGTGAGTCCCATCGCCGCCGCCGCCGCTACAGCCACCATGGACGCGAGCTTCGCCGTCCTCGGACGGTTGGCTCCGAGCTCGTTTCCGACTCGTGTCGAGACGGCGAAGCCCAGAGATGATGGGAATACGTAGAGGAGCGAAGTGGTCTGGATGAGGACCCCCATTGCTGCGACAGTAGACCTGGGGTTCACGAGCAAGCCGCAGAGGACGATCATGATCTCGTACCACCACCACTCCAAGCATACGGAAATGCAGCTCGGTCCGGCGAGGCGGAGAAGAGGTTGCCAACCGGAGAAGCAGTCGCGGGTCGTCGGGTCGGTCCACGTCGGCGCGTGCAGACCTCTGGCCCAGACGTAGCAGACGAGGCAACAGAGGACGAAGAAGTTGGAGAAGGCGGAGGCGAGGGAGACGCCGGCGAGGCCGAGACGGAGGTATGAGACGAGGAAGAAGTTCGCCGGCAAGTGGAAGACGGCGCCGGCGAGGGAGGCTACAGTGACGGGGTGGATGATTCCTTGGGCGCGAAGGTAGATTCTGATTGGATGGACGAAGGAGTTGGTGAAGAGATCGGACAGAGAGAATAGGAGGTAAATCTGAGCTAATCGTGCGATGTCGGGGTCCTGATGAAGATAAACAGAGATTCTCCCGACGTTGAGCCACAGAACGGAGATGGGTACGGAGCAGAGGAGCAAAAAGACGACCGTACGGTGAAGGGTAATGGAGAGGAGCTTGAAGCGGTGAGCGCCAAAGGCCTGAGAGCAGAGAGGTTCCATACCAAGGGCTAAACCGGAGAGAACAGAGTAACCGGTGATGTTGGCAAAGGCAATGGCGAAGGAACCGGCGGCGAGTTCGAGGTCACCTAGACGGCCGAGGAAGAGCATGGAGACGACGGAGCGGAGGTAGAGGACGAGGGCGGTGACGGCGATGGGGAAGGCGAGGGCGAAGAGAGACTTGGCTTCTGACAGGGCGTCGGAGAGGAAAGGGACAGGGGGATGCAAGGGATTGGGCATGTCGGAATCTGGGTTTTGGATGGTTTTGATGGAGAAGAGATCGAGGAAGATGTGGGTTTGTGGGGATTCAGGTTGTTGTTTGTCGGAAATGGAGGAAACTGCGGCGGAGCTTGGATTGCACATGGTGGCGATGAAGACGGTGATCGATCTCGGTCTTTCTTTCTCCAGCAAAAAATGCAATCTCTCTCTCTCTCTCTCTCTGTGATTACCTTTTTTTTTCTATTAAATATGAAAAAAAAAGAGGGAAGAAGAAGAAGAAGAAGTTCTCTCGTGAAGAGCCTTCTTTGAGTATGAGGATAGATTGAATGCTGCTCCTCAAACTCAACTATCTTAAAGGAGTTGGCAGTGCTTTTTTTCCTATTTAAAAATTGTTTTTTTTCTCTAAAAAAAATACATATTTAATTTTTCCCGTTTGCAACTTTCCTTTATTTTATGAAAATTATCAATTTCACCTAAAAGATAAATTAAATTATTCATATTGGTATCTATAATCTAATTCATCTATATTATCCAGTTATTATCAATATATACACACATATATGCATAGAACTTTAATTTTACGGCAATAGATCGTTAATTAATCTTATAATTATATTTTGTTTTGCAAAAATCTTATAATTATATTTTTTCATTCAGTTTAAAAATTATTGTTTTTTTTATATCTTTGTTTCATCTCAACTTAAAATAAATATAGAATATAGAAGTATGGGTCCTAAAGAAAGAAAATAAGACTCAATAATATGTGTGACTAATGGAAAAAAGGATCGATTCCTGTTGTCTTTTTAAGTATATCATATAGTATGAGCATATCATATATATATATATATATATATATATATATATATATATATACATATAAATTCACATATATACATATATATATATATATTAAAAATAAAATAATTTATAATTAATAAAACACATGTACTCATAACTACAATATATATATATATATCATACAAATGCATATATACTAAAATAAAAATAATTATAATTAAATTTATATACATATATAATGTACATATTAAAATAAAAATAGTTATAACTAACACATATACATATAATATATATTAAAAAATACTATTTATATGTATATATATTAGTTAAGATATTCTATAATTATATATGGGCGATTCATTTATAGGAAAAATAATAATAATGGTAATTAATTGTTTAATTTATCTTCTTATTAATGCTAGGCCTTGGCGACTCTGTTAATCAAAGTCATAAAAATATGGTTACAGTTAATTCGACCGTTATCTCGTGCCGTCGCTATTTTGGAGGAATTTGTAAGATAATAATAAGAAAGAAGATGTATGGGGCTTGATTTTATTTTATTTAATTGGTTTTATTTTGATTTGTTTCTACCATAATTCTTTTAAATTAGTAAAAATCGAAAAAATAATATATTTTTTTAAAAAAAAAATCCGAGCCTCGTGCATCCACCACAGCCATGGGCCTGGTTCCTCCGCCGGTTGAGTAGTTTCTCCAAAGGCTTCTGCCGATATTTTTCATGACTTAATAATAACAGCACGTAACCTTTTTGTATATTTTTATTTATATTTTTAGAATTGTAAAGTAGGAAAGAGATTCTGTAAATTGGAGTTTATAGTTTGAAAATCTTATCCATGAAAGAAATATTGAATTTATGTGTATATATTCCAAACTATTACATATTATAAAAAAAAATTAAATTTACGTATATATATTTTATTGTGAAACGTAAATGAGAAGAGCATGATCACAGAGATACTCGTGCAATAGTGTACGTATGCAAGTGACAAATGTTCTAAGCGTGTTAATCGACGGCAGTCATGTACATATACATGTGTGCGTATAACGTCGACAGTCGATAAGATTTATGTGATCACTCAAAGGGTTTTGGGTCTGTGGGAATCCACGAGGAGTCCACGTCAGACGCATAGAGAGGGCCTCGACCGACCGAGGTCTCCTTAAGTATATTTTTTTTATAACGATAAATTTTGCACACAGAAATATTTTCATGTTTCGGATTATTTTTTATATATATGATCCAAAAATACATTATCCAAAAAACAAATCTCATATATATCGTCTCGATTAGTTTCTGTTAGATCACAGCTTTTCACAAGACTCATAGGAAAAACACACACACACACACACTCTCTCATATATACATATATATATATATATATTGAAGAAATAATTTGTATATAAAATAAATTAATTAGAGTTGAATGAATGTGAGAATGAAGAAAAAGGTCGTGGCGTCGATGGATGACGAGCGTATGTACGCAATCCATTGTAATTGGTCATCCTTTATCATGTTCATGGTAGGGTCTCTACGTGGAGAGGATAACATTCCACCAAACTATTCGATCAAAGAATTCATTTTGGTACATGTTACTTTGTAACGAATCACATCGATATATCTCTATTAATATTATGAAATCGAGCCGGATATAACATATCTATCTACATATAATTGAGAATTCGAAGTGTTATAATCTACATTTTCATTTAACATATATAAACCCTTGACGACTACCTAATTTTATTGCTTGTAGTCCTATAATAGTTCTGTATAAATTTAAAACGAAAAAATATGAATTAAAAATTTAAGAGAATATGAAAAAATTAAATGTCAGAAGAAATAAAAGTATATATATGTAGTGAAACGGAGAGAATTTAATCAAAAGTAGAATTCAATAAACTATTGTATATTAACTTACAAAAGATAACGTTTATAAAATTATCGGCATATTTGTTCCTATGCTTTATAATATAGTATGTTCTAGTTAGGTCTCGATTTATAAAACTGTTTATTTAGGTTAGATTTTTTTTACTGCATTGAGATTTAAACTAAAAGAAAATCCGTTACCTGTTTAAGTTTATTTAATTATCAATCACAATAATAAACTAGGCGTTACTTATAAAGATCTGTCAGTAAATATATAGGTGGGAACAAGGGGATGGATATATTATTATCTTCAAGTATTTGCATGGATATGAAAACCGGTGACGTTGCACGACCATGGTCACATAACGCCCATAATAAAGACTTTGGTTCGATGCAAGGGTTTATTAAATTACAGCTGGAAAATTGATATATAGTTTCATTCTCTCACACACACATATATATAGTTTTGGAATTGAGAGAGAGAGAGAGAGAGAGAGAGATTATGTAAGAGAGGGAGGTCGGCTTCCCCTTTCAAGAACAGAAGGGAAGAAAGGAGACATGTGCCCTCTCTCTCATGCATGCATTTTTCTTTTAACCCTCTCTTATCTCATCTATTATTTTTTATTTTTTTTAGATTCGTCTATTTCTAATTTAGATTCTATTTTTTTTTGTGTATCTATAGGAAAACTAGTCATATATTCAAAGGCGATATACTTATTAGAAGGACACTCTTGATATTTTGGTATCTAATTTTTGTTGAATCGATTAACAAATAGCTATATGTATAAAGCTGATTTTTTAATGTTAGTTCCGAATATATATTATATATGACGTATATTATTGTATTGTATATAGCTATCCACATCGACCTGAATTTTGTATTTTTTTATAAATAATCAAATAGATATTGATTTTCTTTAAAACCAATCGTATCAAAAGTTAACAAAACGTGTAAAAATATGCTCATTCGAAAATTTAATCTGGTCGGTTAAACAAATACAGTATAAAAGCTAATTAACCATCTATTTTAAATCATTAATATGGGGAATTTTCAGGAATTTTGGAAGGGCAAAAATGGGAATCGATCATTTGATTTCGCTCTCTCTCTCTCTCTATATATATACCTCTCGCTTTGGTCGATCTGACAACTGAAGACTGTTAACTGACAAGTGACTTGTGTCAGATTCTTGGGACCACACAACGAAAACTTATGTTTCTATTACGGGGACTTCACTCCATTCGTACGGCACCGTTTTGACCCCATCCTCCGCCTTACCCACCCATCCTTTTCTCGTTTTCTCAGCCGTCCGATTCACCGGACTATCTCATCCGACGGCTGACGTGGATTTCATATTCTAATCCCGTATGTGGAGGATCGCCGCCTCCCGTTTCCCGTTGGGTCCTCACGGGGGGATCACAGAGCCATCAACACCACTTACCTAATTAAAATCGGTGAGTTTCGGGTTTATGTTCCTATCAATAAAAGTTATCTTTTTAATTTTCTTTTTTTTTAATCCCTTTTTTTGGGTAACCTATATTACTGCTTTCTTTTTGGTTGTGTTTAATGGTTATCTCCGAGAAATCCATTTCTGAATAAAAAAAATCTTCGGTGTCAATAATGCTATACATTCATTTTATATTATTGGCGTGATCAAATTATAAGGCAACTGTTTTTTTTTTAATAATTAGGAGTTAATTAACTGAGCTTCCGGTCCACTTAATCCCTTAGATCCGAAGTCAACTTTTAGTCACGCAATTAATTACATTCCTCTTCTCCATTAGTGGAATCGAACCTAAACCTTGAAGTAATTTTGTTATCTCTCAACCACTGAACCACCAACTAGTGAGTTTATAGGGCAACTGTTGTTATTATTGTTGATAATGATGATTTAAATAGATAGCATAATTTCATTATAATATAAGAAAATATAATTATTTAAACAATAAAAAAAATATAGAAAACAATCTAATATATAAATTACGCGAACTCGAAATATATACATTAATAAAATATTGCATAGTTTAAAAGATACTATTTACATATATCATGTATATCTATAATGATAACTTCGAATTATAGAAGAAAAAAAAGAATCCGAATGGTATTTTGGGGTTTGGAATTAAATTCTCAACCAGACAATACATCATCGTTTTGAAAAGCCTATAACTTTAGAACATCGTCTTGAATGGTGATGGTATGCATTCATGCATCTCAGGATCTCATCATAATAATGCTACGTTTAGTCATCATCATTATTATTGGTTTGCCCACTAATTAGTCATTTCCTTAACGTTAACTTACAAGTAAAAGAAATGAATAGCGTACGTGGGATTTTGCAATAACTAAGCCACGTAACACAAAAGAAAGCTAGATGTCTTCCTCACATGATTTGGAGTACGTATGATTCCTCTTATATTTTCCACTCATAATACGAAGTTTATACATTCGCATTGAAATTGCACAAAACTAAAATATTAAATTTAAAGGAATATCAAATGCAAAATCTAGTTAAACATAAAATGATAACTTAAAATTTACATGTTTATATCATATACGAATACTTTCGTAGTCTAATTGGATAAGCAAGTGTTGAATCTGTTGAGATATACCGGATCTTGAAGAA